TTGTTTTGTTTTGCTTTGTTTTGTTTTGCATTGTTTTGAAGGCTCTGGGCACTAAACCCATGTCGTCACATCAAGCTATATCCCATACCTTTTTAAATTTATTTTGAAACAGTCTCCTTAAGGAACTAAATTACCCAGCCTGGGCTTAAGCTTGTGACCTCCTGCCTCACCATTCAGGAGAATCAGGATGACAAGCAAGTGTCACCATACTCAACCTATAATAATCACAGTTAAAAAAAAAAAAAAAAAAAAAAAAAATCACAGTTTTATATACATTTTAGTGGAAAATCTCAAAATTAGCTACAGTTCTTCTCGTTATAAACAGAATGCTTCACTTTCTTACCACAAATGAATATTCAAAAGATATATACCTTTAATCTTGCTTATAGAATTTTTGTAGATGATCCGTGCCAACTCTCCCTTAAGGATTTCTTCAGGATGATCAAAATCTCCCTACAAAGGTTACATTAAATACAACTTAACAGACAGTGCCAATAAATACAAAAAAGCACCAGTACAAAAATTAACAGTCATACCCATGTCATATGATCTCTGGCAAATCACATCTCTATCTGGGCCAGTTCCCTTCTGTAAAATGCACAGCTTGGGGGGCCAGGGAGATAGCTCAGTAGAATAAGGGCTTGCCTGGCAAGTACAAGGCCCTGAGTTCAATCCCTGGTATCGCAAAAAAAAAGAAAAAGTGCACAGCTTGGGCAAGATAACTGATCTACCAGCTACGCACTCTCAAGCTCCGGGAGTGGTGATAAGATCACCAGGCTTACAGCCTCCCTTTCCATTTATACCAGATAGGATCAAGTTTTATATGCCTTGATTACCTTCTGGGTAAGATTTTATTTAGATAGTAAAAAAAAAAAAAAAATCTGAACTAAAATCACAATAATAGGGCCAGAGAAATGGCTCCGTGGAATAAGCGCTTCCCAGGCAAGCACAAGGGCCTGAGTTCAATCACTGGTTCCACCAAAAAAATAAAAAATAAAAAATAAATAAAAGATAAAAATCACAATAATACATACCAGCAAGGTTTCTTCTTCAGTACTAACATTCTAAATCTTCTTTCTTTAAAACTATTTCTCTAGGTGGGCATGATTGCACACTTCTGCAATCCCAGCACTCAGGAGGCTAAGGCAGGAGGATCACTGCAAGTTAAGCAATCCTGGGCTATGAAGGGTGTTCAAGGCCAGCCTAAACTGCACAGTGAAATCCTGTCTCAAAAAGACCAAATAGGCTGGGGAGATGGCTCAGTGGAATTAGCGCTTCTCTGGCAAGTGCAAGGGCCTGAGTTCAATCCCCGGTTCAGCAAAAAAAAAAAAAAAAGACCAAATAAAGATCTACAGTTAGCTCGAGATCTAACTAAGTGCCTGCCTGGCAAGCACAAGGTCCTAAATTCAATGCCTGATAAGGAGTTAGTATGGCCCTGGAAGCTCAACAGGCCTGGTGACGCATGCCTGTAATCCCAGCACTAGGGAGGCTGAGACAGCAGGATCACTTTGAGAGTCTAAACCACATGGCAAGACCCTATATCAAAAGAGTAAAAATTTTTAAAAGACAA